AACACTTATCCACTGAATCTTGTTCTGTTAGGTGGAGACCTCTACCAAGAGAATCTTGCTTTTTTTCTATGGAAACAACTTATTAAGGAAAACATGAAAGGAATTCAGCGAACCTTGCTGTGCCAAGGACCGGTGGAAATCACGAGCTACAACAAAAGGAAGAAAAGATATCTATCCTTATTTAATGATGTTTTGGTTGTGTCTAGTAACCTGTGAGTATATGCAACATGTATTCCTTACTATGAGAAACTATACTTTAATTAGGCCTTTTTGTACAAAAATAACCTATGTCCTTTTACTTCTTTTTTTAAAAAGATTATAATTCATTTCTTCATGATTACAATTTCTCTTTCCTCTACCATGGTTTAGGTTTGGTGGACACTCCCCTACATGTTTGTCAATTTGTTTTAACAAAAGTTTTAGACACAATTTTAAAAAAAGAATTATTTAAGGTGCTCTCCTGTTACCAACGTGGTAAGTTTGGCTGTCAACCCTGATCAGTCACTGTAATCTCCCAGCATAGAAAATGATAGTTTCTGACTGATGCAGGCTCAAATGAAGTGAATGGCCTGGCAGCCTTTCAATCTGTCCATCTTTCTTGTCATTTCTACTCAACTCACCTTCAGTCTACAGATGGAAATACATTTTTAAGAAAGATAGTAATCGACTCATTTGAATTAAAAACTTATATATACTGATAGTGTACCTTTTACGTGTACCTTTTAAGTACCTTTTAAGTGAAATTCACTTTGATTTTTGAGAGTAAAGGAAACTAGAATGACTGTTTTTCTTGAAAGGCCGTCTATTTTTCCACTTATGCTGTGTAGTGATAATAGGGAAAACTATTTTGAGAGTGTCATTCACATTATGGAAAGAGCATTATTAGTCTCATAGGAGATGATTGTCATTATTACCATTTTCAAGGAAGATTATCTCTTATTAGGCCTATTGAAATTAGAGGTTTTAGGTTTAGGCATTTCTTCTGAATTATGATTCATATATACACATATATGTATATTATATGTATATGTACAAACACATGTCTTGTGGTGGAAAGAAAATGTAAGTATGAATGTTTCATATGATTGATATATGTGTTTGTATGATTGTGTATAAGTGTGTATGTACACATTCTTTAGTAAATATTATATAACATGCTTTAATTTTGACCATTCCGTGTTATGTTACATAGGGTGGAAAATCATTCACTGTAGTATGATGTTTCAAAACATCACACATTTGAAGTTTAGATAGGCTTATATATGCAATTTTTGGATTAGCAATTTTTGGATCAGTGTTTAGTTTTGTGTCATGTTTTCTCCTGAATATGAGAGAGGCAGAGTCAGTATCTTCAGTTTTGAATCAAAATATTAGCTTAAGTGTCCAACACAGAGTTACATACCCAATAACACACACACACACACACACAGACAAACAGAGGTAACATGCAGTCTATCATAAAAACATAGAACAGTCATGAGTCTTGGAAGGATTCTGTCAAAAGATAAAAGAGAAAATAGAGAGCAACAAAAAAATAATGAGAACCCTTTATGTGAATTTCTCAAAAGACAAACTCCACATAAAAGATATGATGAAAATACAAAAGTTATGCTTATAAGATTATTATTTCTTACAAACAATTTGGTAAGATCAGAATGCTTGATTGGAAAACATAATTCTAATAATTTGTTTAAAATATTAGGATAATTAATCATCTTTTTGTATACTTGTATGGGATGTGCATTGTACATTTACTAAAGAAGCCATTGTAGTGAGCAGATGTGACTTCCTAGTATACAGAGAAGGACAATGGAAAGTGAATTTGATTCAGTCATACAACATTTCCACATTATTTATTTTGGAACAATGATTAAATCGAATTAATTAAAATACAAAATTTTTAACTAACATTTTTTTGGTATGAATTTTAAGGAAATAAAGCAAAATGCTTACAAATTGACAAAATTAAGGGAAGAAACCTTGAAACACATGGCTTTCTAATATTGACATGTATATAAATACACACACATATTTATAGTATAGTCATTCACATTCTCCAATCAGAAACAATCAGGCTATGTCAATTTGTGTGCATTGAGAAGCTTGTATCCTCCAGTAACTTCTTCAACACATGATTTGTTGAATTCCCTCTACCATGGTTTGAACTGTGTCTGAGTGATAAAATGGAGGAGTCCTCTTCTGCTCTGGGACAGGAAGAACTGGGTATTTCTACAAGCAATTACAACTACAATGCAAATGAAACTAACAGAGATACTTGATTCTCTTTCTAGGAAAAAGAAAAAGTTTAAGATAAAATACATCTTCCCACTGAACAACCTGTGGGTTGTGAATGATGTAGTCCTTTTCAGGAGAAAGGAAAACTGTAGTTCCAGGACCCTTTTCCTCTCATGTTGCGTTGAAAATTTTTTTGCCACCTTTCGGTAAGACCTACAGTTTGAACCTGTATTCACTATAGGATAGCTTTATCAATTGAAGGCCAATTAATGCTTCATAATTCACAGTTTAAACCAAATTAACCAGAATGTTTGCAAAATACAAATCCATTTAAGCCTGATTGTATACAGGTTGCCAACTCAAAATTTTCCCTTATATGATGGTTCTAGTGTGTTCCCCAATTGGGAAACATCACCTTCAGTGTTCACATGCAACATCACCTTCAGTGTTCACATGCAGAGATTCCTGATCACAGCATCAGAACCAACCCTTAAATATCACCAAGTACCAATAAGTTTTCCTGTGATAATATCACTTTTTATTTTACTGACATTAAATAAGTTATGTATGTGTGTGTGTGTGTAAGTTGAGGGGTAGAAGCATAATCCACCCTTCTGATAAAAATGGTTGCACCTGGAGAATAGACTGGGTGAACAGTTAATGCAGAAACAAGAATATGCCAGTCTTTGTGCAAGAATGAGTCCATGCTTCCATAGGAAATCAGGTTGAGTTAGACATGTTTGAACCATGGCTAAAGTGAAAAGAAAATTCTGTGAATGGAAGATTTTGAAGCCTGGGTAATTATTTTCAGGAAGAAGAAACAAGGTATACATAATTTACAGATGGAAAAACTATACCTGACATAGAGTTGTGAGCATAGGGAAGAGTAATAGTGCATTGGGTAAGGGTTGCTGTTTGGATAAGAAAAACATTGAGCAACAAGATAATGTTGATGACTATAAGACACTGTGAATGTGTCAAATATTAATGAGTTCTAACTGATTCAACATAGAATTTGCAGTTATAAAATGTTAGCATTGTGAGTTCATCTTTAATCCATTTTAATTTTGAGTATTACATGCTAAAGTGGAATAGTGGTGGGCTTATTAATTTGTATTCAGGAGAGTTAATGGGATGACACACAGATGAAACACTAGTTTCTAGGATCTCCTGTCTTGTATGCTAATTCTGTAATTCCCACAAGGAAATAAACAATATTTATTTTCTTAATAGATGTTCTCCCTGGGTTAAGTGTGTTCTAACCAAAGGTCATATAACTATGTTTTAGTGTGAATAATGGTACATTATTCTATGTGAACATGGCCTCATGATGAGAGGACACTTTTTTTTTTCTTTCTTCCTTTCTTTTTGTTGGTATACACCTTTATTTTTTTTAATTAATTTTTTATTGGATTGTTTTTTACATTTTATATGTTATCCTCTTTCTCCATTTCCCCCCACCCAGAAAACCCTTATCCCATCCTCCCCTTTTACTGCTTCTATGAGGATGTGCGCCAACCCACCCACCCACTCCCACCTCCCTGCCCTCAAATTCCCCCGCACTCGGGCATCCAGGCTTCACAGAACCAAGGACCTCCTTTCCTACCTATGCCTGACAACTAACTATCCTTTTATATATATGAAATTGAAGCTAGAAGTAATTGCTGGCCCAGGGATAGTCACACAGCTTTTGGAACATAGTCAAGTCTTTACACTCCCAACTAGCTTCCACACTCTATTCAACTTCCTGTCATACAAGTGTTCCATGAAACATGTCTTCCAGAAGGGCTGTCATGTGGGGAATACAATCTACCCATGCTCCCTCATTGTGGCCTTGGGTTTATAATGATTTTTATGTGCAATAAGCTTAAAAGTTGTATCATTATCAAGTCTCTAATCCTGTTTTTCACTTTTAACATTACAGTTCGAAAGAACAGAAAGATCAGTGGTACTATTTTCTGAAAAGGTATTTTACTTGTGATTATACTTTAACTCTGTAACTGATATG